AGGGTTGAGTATGATCAAGCCATCTGGGGTGAGGGGGTTGACAACTGTGGTAGAAGGAATGGTAGAAGAAATGGCAGGCTGCCCATCTGGGGAATTTGTACGGTCCCCTTGCTGAGGGGGGTCGTCTGCCGCCATAGGGGAAGAGGGATGGCTGGTTAGAGCTCGGGAGGCTCTGATACCATAATAGAGAAGGGAGAAACGATGTTTTGAATATATATTCTTGATGATTAGAATGAGTTACAATGGCTGCTATTTATACAAGTAGTAATCTCATCTATATGGTAAGTAATAATACAATATTAAATGATAATGATATGTAACGGCTAATATGATATGTAACAGCTAATCTATTTTAAACTCAATTATTCCTTTCCTTCAATAGTGCTCACATATTTTGTGATGATATGTCCACTCGTAATCTTCTCTCGAATAAAATGACAATCAACTTCAATATATTTTGTCCTCTCATGATATACCGGATTTGATGCGATGTGCATTGCAGCTTGATTATCACACATGAGTTGAACCGGTTTTGTGTTCCCATATTATAACTCTTGGAGGAGATGCTTCAACCATAAGATTTCACATGTAGCAAGGGCCATTGCACGATATTCTACTTCAGCACTAGATCTGGCAACCACATCCTGTTTCTTACTTTTCCATGAAATTAAGTTTCCACCAATCAAGATGCAATATCCCGAAGTGGAACGTCTATCCATCGGACATCCGCGCCAGTCTGCATCACAGTATCCCACCATATCATGGTGGCCTCGATCTTCAAACAACAATCCTTTCCGTGGAGTTTTCTTGATGTATCTCAAAACTCGGATAGCTGCATCCCAGTGTCCAGTACAGGGCTTATCAAGAAACTGACTAAGAACACTTACCAGAAATGAAATATCTGGTCTTGTGATGGTAAGATAATTCAATTTGTCGACGAGTCTTCTATATTTTTCCTTGTTGGTCAAAAGATCTCCCTGTTCTGATAAGAGTTTAACGTTCGGATCCATTGGTGTATCCACTGGCCTGCAATCTAGCAAACCTGTTTCCTCAATAATATCCAAGGCATACTTTCTTTGTGAGAGAGCAATTCCATCTTGAGACTGTGCGACCTCAATACCAAGGAAGTATCTCAACTTTCCCAAGTCTTTTGTTTGAAATTTGCTAAAGAGTTGTTGGTTGAGGAGCGCAATTCCTTGATCATCGCTACCTGTAATGACAATGTCATCAACATACACAACAAGATAAATGCATTTGTTGCCAGCAGAGTGTCTGTAGAATATAGAATGATCGACATCACTGCGAATCATATCAAAGCTGCAGACAACGTCACTAAACCTCCCAAACCATGCACGTGGAGATTGCTTCAAGCCATATAATGAACGGCGTAATCTGCACACCATACTAGACTCCCCCTGAGCAACAAATCCAGGTGGTTGCTCCATATAAACTTCCTCGTGCAGATCTCCGTGAAGGAATGCGTTTTTAATATCCAATTGGAACAATGGCCAGCGGCTCATTGCTGCCATGGATAAAACCAAACGAACTGATGCAATCTTCGCTACAGGAGAAAAAGTGTCAGTGTAATTCAAACCATATATCTGAGTATACCCTTTCGCCACAAGGCGTGCTTTAAAGCGATCAATCTCCCCATCAGGCCCAACTTTAACTGTGTAAAGGGGTGTTTGGGATTGCTTTAAAAAAGCGTTTTTTAGCTTTTGGCTTAAAAAAGCTGAAAAGAGTGTTTTCAAATGACAACTTCTGCTTAAATTAATCACTTAAAAGCTAAAAGCTGGAAGCAGGTAGAAGGGTGCTTTAAACTGCTTCTCACTTTTTCTATTACACAAAAAGTACTTATTTTACCAAACACTACCAACTTTTACTTTTTCAGAATCACTTTTTCTCAAACACTACCAACTTTTACTATTAATCACTTTTCCCAAAATCACTTTAAAAAAATCACTTTTTCAAAGTTGAAGCAATTGCAAACACTCCCTAAATCCACAGACATCCCACCACTGATTTGCCAGTGGGAATGGGGACTAAGTCCCACGTCCCACTAGAATGAAGAGCCTCCATCTCAACCAACATGGCTCTACGCCACTCCGGGTGTGCCAGTGCCTCATGTGTGGTTTTAGGAATGCATATATGAGATAGGTGGGAAATGAAAGCATAGTAAGGGGTAGAGAGGCGGTGATAACTCAAAAAGTTATATATGGGATGTGGATTCAATGTGGAACGCGTACCTTTTCGGAGGGCAATGGGCAAATCATCCTGAGTGGTTTCAAGTGCTGGAGTAGGTGATGGTGGTGATGCAGGATCCATCATACGGGAATCAACAAGCGTGGTCACGATGGGCTCAATGGGAGGAGGTCGAGGTCGTCGAAGGTATACCTGTAATGGACGGTCTGACATAGGAGGGAAGTTTGGGTGCTCATCAGATGGGGGGCTAATGGGAGTCTCCTGGTGGATGGGCCGGAGATATGAGGTGAAGTCCAAACATGATGAGGTATCAACTGAAGATAATGGATAATAGAAGGACGACTCAATGAAAGTGACATCGGCTGCTGAAATAAAATGTTTTTTAAGTAATGGAGAATAACAACGATAACCCTTTTGGAGTCGTGAATATCCAAGAAAGATACATTTTATTGACCTAGCCGACATTTTAGCTAATCCAGGTGTCGTATCATGGACAAAACACACACACCCAAAGACATGAGGTGGTAATGGAAATAAGTCACGGCCAGGAAACAAAATAGTATAGGGAATTTCATTATTAAGAACTGAGGAAGGCATTCTAATTATTAAATGACACGCAGTGAGCACAACATCAGCCCAATACTGGGGAGGTGTATGGGAATGTAATAATAAGGTACGAGCAGTATCAACCAAGTGTCGGTTCTTGCGTTCAGCAACCCCATTTTGTTGAGGCGTGTGAACACAAGATGATTGGTGAAGCATGCCCTGTGATGACATGAATTGATTAAAGGATGCCCCAAAAAATTCCTTAGCATTGTCACTGCGTAAAATTTTGATAGAATGACCAAACTGAGTTTGAATTTCAGCACAAAACGTTTGAAAAATATGAAACAATTCAAAACGCTTCTTCATTAAGAACAACCAGGTGTAACGAGAAAAATCATCCACAAAAATAACAAAATAACGGAAACCTAAAGTAGAAGTGACTCGATACGGACCCCTTACATCTGTATGAACTAAATCAAACAGTGATGTAGCCCATTTATTGATTCTCCTTGGAAAGGATGTACGAGGTTATTTTCCAAGGCGACATGACTCACAATCTAAAGATGAAAGATTTGAGAAACCTAGAACCATACGTTGAAACTTCGAGAGACTAGGATGACCCAGACGGTTGTGTAAGGTAATAGCAGGTTCAACTGAAACACAAACGGTTGGATCAGGAGGATGGAGATGATACAAACCTTGAGATTCATGTCCGACGCCAATCAGCAGAAAATGTTACGGAACAATTAAGAGCACGTGTAATTTTGCTGACAGAGACAAGGTTAAAAGGGGTGTTAGGGACATATAAGACTGAGTCTAATGGTAAGGATGAAAATGGAAGTGCTTGCCCAATACCCAAAGCCGAAGTTTGAAGGCCATTAGCAAGAGTAATCAAAGGAAGATGTCAGTGCTTGTTAATATGGGATAAAAGATGGGGATTACCAGAAATATGGTCTGAGCCTCTGAGGCACCTGAGTCAATGATCCATGAGCCCGTTGTGTTTGAAACACAAGCGGTAGACACCCCGGGCGTGAATAAAGGCATATTAGTCAACTTAAATTGTTGATATGCTGCATATTCTTCCGGTGATAGAACAATGGAAGATGATGGGAGCTGAGCAACATGGGCTGAGGGAGGATTTCTCCCATGTAATTTCCAACATTTGTCTTTAGTATGACCAATTTTATGGCAAAAATCACATTTAGGACGATTCCATCTTGAGTATCCGGTGTTGTTTCCTCTGTCAGAACTCATAAAAGACATTTTTTTTTAAATACTGTTTTTTTTCTTTTTTTTTTAGAAGAATGAAAAGCTAACAAATGAGAAATTAAAAATAAAACCTGCTGAGGATCAACGCTTCAAGACAGTAGAACTCACGATAGCCGTTTGCAAATACTCCGTAAAAAATAAAACCTGCTGAGTGTGTTGACCGTCTCACGTTTGAGGGACCATCTCTCAGGCGACGCCAAGCTGGAGTGTGAACAAGTAGACCAGAGAGCAGTGAAACAGCGGAAGTAACTGCCTGAGATTCCGTCAAATAGGTGGAACAACGGCCAGAGCAGCGGCGAGCGGCCAGAAAGGCGGCGGCAACCGATATGAGCGACGCGTGGTTTTGGCGGCGGCGGCGGCGCGTGGGTCCGATGAGTGACTGGTTTATGTTGTTTTGGTCGCTAGGAGCCACAGATCTTCAGTGTTTCGTCTGTGTGAGCTCAAGATGAGTAGAAAGAGAGAGATCTGTAAAGAAAGGTGAAGGAACCTGGCAGTTGGCGGCGGCGCGTGGCAGTGCGTGCAAGGTGCAGCAGAGGTTTAGTTTCAGACGTTAGTGTACTGAGGATGGCGGTAGGTGTGGTTTGATATATCACTACCGGAAATTGCTCAAACACCAAATGCTCTTACTATTCACGGCGGACTTTCTTGTCGGAAATTAAGAATACTATATCTAAAGACATATACGGCTCTGATATCATGTGAACAAGTATTGTTATATTTCATATACTTGATATTTTAACATACTATACAAGAAGCTATATTTATAGCTATATTTAGAGTACTAGGGTTTCCTATACAAATGGGCTAAGCCCAATACTACTAGGGTTTCCACACGTAAAAACCACGATAACCCCAAATGTATCTTACACTATGGATTGGGGGAGTATTAAATGTACCTAAAGTACTAAACCCTTCAAAAACAAAGATTTTATCATAAATTTGACAATTTAATAGGGTCTTGTCTAGATAAGTAATCATGTAACCTGGTAATTTATCTGGTCTAAGGGAACGCCTAATAAGCAATGGAGGCTGTGGATACAAACGCAACGCTTCCACAACAATAAGCCGCAAGTACCTGAAATCCATGAAAAAATTTATCGCAAGACTCAAGAAAGATATAGATCATTTATAAAGTGGATATGTGAATTGTGAAGAAATCCCAGCTAACATGAAAATGTCACCATTTAGCCATTCTACTCTTTCACTTTCATGGAAATGCCACCATCAGAAATTAAAAGTTGTTATTTCATTTCAGCAGCTTCCTCACAAAGAACGCAATTGACTACTGAGCTACCAGCAGAATGACTGAAATGGTAACCATTTTGGAATAAGCTGCTCATCCGTGACAATGAAGGATCAAATCGATAAAAAGAAACAACTGAGAGACGGATGTTGTTTTACATCAGTAGGTTAAACAGAAAATGGTGTACAAAAAATCTTAAGGTTTATGGTAAACTCATATCTGTTAATGTGCTTTTAAGTGAAGAGGGACCCGAACAAGTTCAAAGAGTCACTTCACTTACTCCAACTTTTTGAGTGATTCAAAGGTGGTGGTTCTTCCCTGTCCAAGTACAATGTCAATTTCCGCCTGGGCTTTCTTCATTTTGGATGGATTCTTCACCAAATATCACAATTATCAAAGCCACATAGATAAGAATTAAAATGTTCATTGATGAAATAAATTTTCAAAAAGAAAATAATGACAGTTATGGGGAAAAAGGTAGGAAACATCAACAAAGAAATAGCAAAGGACAGTAATTTTCATTTTCTTCCTAGAGACACTTTAGTATGATTCCACCTTCAACAGCCCAGCAATTTATGCTCTTTTTTGTTTAGCCTTTTAAATAAATGTAAAAAAGATTCTAATCTTCGGATTATGACGAACTATACTTGTGCTAGGAGAAAAACAGCCCAGGTAAGCACAGCTGCAGTTGTTTCATGGCCAGCAATAAGCATTGTCATTAAATCATCTCGTAGCTGTCACATAGAGAACAAAACAAATGTGAAAAATATTAGACAATTACTACTGCATAGAGATCAATGCCGAACATTCAAGAACAGCCACATAGGTTTGCATGAAAGAATGATAAGATCATACGTACCGTACCATTTCTTTAGCTCAGAATTATTGATTTTATTTTTAAAAGAAACTATGAAGAAGGTATAAGATACTCCACCTGACGATCATCCACATCCACACCCCTCATATCAACTAAAAAACGCAACACACTTGCATCCTGCAAATTTTATAGTTAAGCCGAAATTCACTGATCTGGATTTATACATCTTTTTTCACTAACTCATCTGGAATAGGAACACTACTATAGTACTATACCCAGATAAGTGCCAACCTTAAGGTCTAGGTAGTCCCTCTGCTGCAGTTTTTCAACATCAGTTTCCTGTCAGAGAATACAATCAAAGTGAAACAGAAACTCCTGGTGTACAAATTAAATCCGTTTTAAGAATTACTAAAATAATATTCGGAAACAATCAGCTAATATATGTATAACATGGATTGATATACTACTTTTCATTTCCAACTCCGGAATCTTCTTTATACTTGGCTAGACTAATAAAATATTTCATCCATAACGAATTTATCCTTGTTTAAAACTACTTAACTTCTGAAGATGATAGCTCAAGTTTTATTCACTCCCGTCCAATAAAAGCGATATTGTATTTTACATTTTTACTTCATATGCACATGGTTGTATGCAATGGTGCTCCCAAAATTTACGAAAGTGGGAAAATACAAGACATAGGTGCTCTTAGTTTTAACACATATAAACATTATAAATTAATATATAAAATGTTACCATCAATGAAAAATTAGTTTATACTTCCACTTAATTTGATACCTTCGTAGTTGGTACGCTACGAAATAAGTGCATGTTTTCCTATGGAAAGTCCTGATGGATTAAACCCGCCGGCAGATCCATAAGAGATGTCGAGGAGCTATGAACATCTGGAAAAAGCCAACATTTTAAAATCCTATAGATTTCTTCGGATGAAAATATTCCTAGAGATCCATGTGGTAGAATGATAGGAATGGGCCTATTATTGTAGATAATAATAAGTGGGCTTGTACTATAAATAGAAAGGGTAGGGAGGCAATTGGGGTAGGCAAGTATTCAGTTGGACTTGGCTAGACTAGGAGACTGGACATCTCGAATTGTCTATTTACCTATTCCGATCTGTTCTTACTCAATAAACAAATCTTTGATCTGTTCTAGATCAGTTCTCTTTGATTTTCTACTGTTCAGACTTGAATTACATCAGCTTTCTATCATTGGTATCACAGCAAGCCGCTTCCTGGAGGCAGAGAAAATCATCATCGAACATCTCAGAGCACTTGCTCTCCTGGTGATCATATTTGAGTGGCGACCTCAGCATAACTCTCGTTTCAGTGGTGAATGGTCAGAACAAGGGCGAAAATGGAGTTTCGCATGGATACTCTGGAGCGAAATCTGGTGGAGATGCGAGAGGTGCAGGAACAAAAACTGATGGAGGTGCAGGAGGAATTACGATCATCAATGAATGATCAGCGTACAGCAATGGATAATTTGGCGGCAAACCTGGCGGCATCCATGGCCGCGATGAATGAAGAGCTTTGGTCCAGAAATAGATCGATCTCAACCTCGGCATCATGTGCGATCATCTACCAGTCCGACGACTTCTGGAGGTAATCCTATCATCGGTAATCCCATTCAATAGCACATCCAAAATCACAGAAGGCATGAGGATGTTAATAGATTTCAAGTACATACGGGTAGATAAATTGATTTACCTGTATTTAATGGGGAAGGTGCGTATAATTGGATTGTGAGGATGGAGAGGTATTTCCGTCTGAACCAGATTAATGAAGAACAGGTGGAAGCTGCAGTAGTCGCTATGGAGGATAGGGCTATAAACTGGTTTATCTGGTGGGAACACCAAACTGAAAGAAAGAATTGGGAAAATTTGAAGGCATCTATCATACGTAGGTTTCAGCCAGATCTAATTCAGAACCCATATGGGCCTATGCTAAGCTTGAAACAGACTGGAACTGTAAAGGAGTTCAGAGATGAGTTTGAAATGGTGATAGCCCCTCAAATCAATGTGGATATGGAGATTCTGAGAGGAAATTTCCTTAATGGCCTGAAGAATGAGATAAAAGCTGAACTGAAATTACATAACTCCACTTCCTTAACTGAGATTATGGACATGGCTCTACTGATTGAAAGTAGAAATGAAGCTATATATTTGAGGAGTAAATGTGATGATAAACTATCTGGGAAGGAGAAGGGACCTGCAGCTACTAAAACTTACACATGGGGAGAAGGATTTAAACAAAAATTTGGAAATTCTTGGTCTAATACTACTGGGAAGAGTGCAGCTGAAAACAAGAGTAACCCATCTTGGTTTACTCCTGAGGGAAAGGAGACAGAAATAAATCCCTCAGACATCAGAAGGGTGGGGCCACAACTGTCACAGGAAGAATATCTGGACCGGAGCAGGAAGGGACTTTGTTTTAAGTGTGGAGAAAAATGGAACAAGGAACATACCTGCAAATTAAAGAATTACAAACTCATACTGGTGGGAGATTCTGACAGTGAGGAAGAAGTAGAAGGTGCAGAGGTGAAAATTGCAGCTGAAGAAGTAACTACCATGGAATTTAAGTCCATGCAACTTTCTCTTATGAGTAAGGAAGGGATACCTTCTACGAGGACTTTCAAGGTCAAAGGGAGTTTAGAATGAGCTAAAGGGAAGGCAGAGGTTGAAGTACTCATTGATAGTGGGGCTACGCACAATTTTATATCACAGAGGTTGGTGGATCAATTGGGACTAAGCATACACACCATTACTGGATACAAAGTTCAAATTGGTAATGGAGAGGAGATTATAAAAAATGGCAGATGTGAGGATCTAAAACTAGAGTTTACAAGATACCAAAATAAATCAGCACTTTTATGTTTTGGATCTGGGAGGTACAGACTTAGTGCTTGGGATGGAGTGGCTGACTACTTTGGGTGATGTGGAGATAAACTTTCAGAAACAAAGTATAAAATGGAAGGTTCAGGGGGTAGATCAGCAGATTCAAGGGGACCCACACTTGAATTCCATTGAGATATCACTGAAAACCATGACTAAGATTCTGCAGGAAACTGGTGATGGTTATTTTGTGTTTTGTGAAGGAAGAGCAATTGAGATGAAAGGAGAAGAATTAGAGAAAATTCGTGTAGAAGACATTGCGACAGGGGTTGATGAGCAATTTGTGTATGCAGCAGCTAAGGTAATCGGCATGGATGTGCTTCCTCCTGAAAAATTAAATGCTTGTCAAGCATTGTCACAGTTTTTAACTGATACAGACTCTGGAGTCGATTGGCCACACATCAAGCACTTAAATTCATCAATCATCAACCACACTGTGAATAGGACTTTTGAGAGACTACGAGCTACTTTCAGGGCATATTCTTTTACCAACTCTGAGGCTTTAGAAATGTTAGAGCAGCCTGAATGAATAATCCTCCAAAGTAATGACAACAACAAGATTCAGGAATCACTTGGATGGAGTGAAAAGCTAAAGGTGAAGGAAGTAATGATGAAGATCCAAGCACAGAAGCTAAAAGCCCAGAAATCAGTGAAGTACCGGGAGGGGAGAGGTGCAAGAATGAATTGGAAGTGGAAGATCATGGCTCATTCGTATCACCCACCTTGAGGACAAGGTGGTTGTTTAGGGGAGGAGTATTGATAGGAATGGGCCTATTATTGTAGTCTGTAGATAATAATAAGTGGGCTTGTACTATAAATAGAAAGGGTAGGGAGGCAATTGGGGTAGGCAAGTATCCAGTTGGACATGGCTCATTCCTATCACCCACCTTGAGGACAAGGTGGTTGTTTAGGGGGGGAGTATTGATAGGAATTGTCTGTTCTAGATCAGTTCTCTTTGATTTTCTATTGTTCAGAATTGAATTACATCAGGTTTCTATCATAGAAAAAAATATTTAATAGAATGATTTTTGTGTTCTCTAGTGATAAGTATAGCTAGTATATTTCCTATGAGTTGTATTTTTTGTGAAGTATGGACATAAGTGAGAAATAGTCAAAGTCAAACAATGTTATTTAGGTCTGAATAGTGAAATAAAATCTAGTCCAACTGTCCAAGCACCATGGATGGCCGGATTTGGCAAAGTACATGCAAATTAGGGAGCCATTCAGCACCTAGTCAGATTTTTAGAATACATGTTGTATCTCAACTAATAGCTCACAATTCCATTGCAATATCCCAACAAGTGGTTACTACTTACTAGACATGTATTCTGAGTCTGCTTTGCACTATAAGATTATAAGAGCATCTGAAAACCCCAAAATGATACTAATGATGTAGTACCAAACAAGTTTGTAACGTAAAAAATATCATAAATCTTCTTACCTGTCTGGTCTCTTTTGCAAGTTTTATGAGACCATCTAGACAGTCATTTATGACCTTAAGGTCATTCTGGAATTTTCTTTGACGGGGAACTAACCACCTTGCTAGAGGAAGCTTCCAATAAGGAATATAGAACGTCGATCGGTGCTCAGCTTCAAACAGAGTACCATATACCGCCTGCAAGTTGGAAAGCCTGACTAGTTTATTATTGGCAACAATAATAAGGAGCTAAATTAATAACTATGCATAATAATATATTTTTAACTGCATAGACATGTCTCTATGTGTGTGTGCTAAAAGTCTAAAATGATACGTATTAACTTAAGAGCATCATAGATTGCATATATAAGCTAAAAATTCAGCCAAACCAAATAAAAGAACCGTAAAGAAAAAACAACCTAACATGAACATAGTAGTATGTTATGGTTTATGAAGGATTACAAAAAACCTCTCTTGGCATTTGTAATTTGTACTCGTGATAGTTGAAGCTTTAACTCCATCATTTCCAATGGAGCCAAAGATTCACAATTTTTTGGATTAGGAATATGATGGAATTAAGCAAAATGGCTCACTAAACTGTTTGTGCTTCATCTTTATAAAGCAACGGTCAGGCCACGCAATATTGAACGCAATTTTCATCATGGGTCATCCAAAAACAATTTCTATGTGCTTTAGTATAGGAGTAATGCTGCATACATCTGACCCCCCCTTACCTCAAAAAAACTGGGAGTAATGTTGTTGGTGTGTTGATAGTTGAAGCTTTACTATTTCATAGGATCTTTATTCTGTGTAGAAAATGCATCACTTTCACACTCAAGCACCCGTTTGGTGAACTTTATTAGGGAGCAGGATAGATTTTTTTTTTTTTTTTTACAATTTCAGGCGATTGACGCGTTTTTCTTACCGTACTAGTAAATCTAATTACACTTGAAAGCATATTTAGTAATCCCATCTTAGGTTCAATTGAAGGGAAATATCCCAACAACTTGCATGCAAATGCGAATATCACGAGGAAATGGGAACCGGGAAATGTCAACTTTTGCCTAAAAACAGCTCTAAATAACATTGTATTCACACTCAAGCACCAGTTTGGTGAACTTTATAAAACTTATATTAATATACACATCAAAAGGTTCTACTAGTGGATCAATAAGAGTTACCATAACCACACGTGAACAAGTGAACCACTTAGCAGAAAAGGGTTGATCAGATAAATGCTACTCCGTATCATGTAAATGATACAAAGACATCTAGTCCAAATACATGTGGAGAAAGCTTGAATTCACCCTTGAACTAAGACCATGAGTTCCCAAGCCTAATGAATGGAGTGATGAACACTACTATAACTCCCTATAAGCTGCCTATTTGGCATGTGTCCTATAATATTTGTTCAATTTTGATACAATGATTGGTTCACACTTGAACTATAAGCAGAATAAAATTTATATACTCCCTCCGTCCCAATTTGTAAGACACATATCCTATTCACTTGGTCAACACAAATCACTCTTAATCTCTTACTTTATAAATCAAATTTTTATCGAGTTTGATTCTGGTTTTTGCGACTTTGTAAAGCTTTTAATGTAGTTTCTAAATAAGTAATTTTTTTCTAAAAATAATTTGAGTGCGGACAGAGATCCGTTTGCTTTATCGTCGGTCAAACATCGTAAACCATAAAGTATCTTACAAATTGGGACGGAGGAAGTATAAGACAGGTTAGACAGTATTTCATATACTATTTTCATACAATATTTACTTTGATTAGATTATATTTCATGTAAATTAAAGTATAATTTTTTTTACATTTTAATTTATACTCCCTCCGTATTTAAAAGTTTGCTACACTTTCTTATTTGGGATTTATTTACAAGTTTGCTACACTTTTCCTTTTTGGTAAGTTTTTCCTTTAAAAATATTCAATTACCTTACTTTTTCTTCTTTTTATCTTCTCTTTCATACTTTTTCACCTTCTCCTTTACCTTTTCTACACTATTCATTACACATACTATTCCCTCCTTAAATATTGTGCCAAGACCTAATCTCATAATCTTTTAAATACGGAGGGGGTATTTAATAAAAATTTATATTAAAATGGATCGATTTTGGTTTTGTATCTTACAAAAACTTGTAATATGCTTGGTTTCTTCTGAATTATTTCTTCTATACTCTGTATTTTATTAGAAAATTAGAACAAAAGCAGATAACATCAACTAGGAAGAAAATTATGACAAGGACAACGGCATCAAGTTGCTGCATTAAGTTGATGATTATGGCTGATCAGCATGAAGAACTTTTTGACTGATCAGCATGGAGAGCTTTTTTGACTAGATCCTGACTAGCACCTTGGGATGCAAGAATGATAGTCACTAGAGCCTGATTCAGCAGATATCGGGGTTGCGCGAAGAATTCGAGCAAAAGCCTCTGTCATAGTAGGAATAGTGGAACTAGAGAGAATCTGCTCTCGTATTGATAACTCGACGAAGACCTGCCAAGGCTAAAACCATAACCAGTTGTTGTCGTTGTTCAAGTTGTTTCTCTTTATCTTCCGTGATTGGCTGAATGGTATTATACTCAAATAGTAAAGCCTCAGCCCATCCCAGAAAATCTTGAACATCTGAATCCTGTTGTTTGAGTGTGGCAATTTTGGAACCGAAAGAAAACAGACTTTGAATATCGTTAGTGTAATTAGACTTAGCTTTTTCCCAAATCTGTTACACATTCGATAGGATTGATATGTGAGATGAAGTTTCGAATCCATTGACTGCCACAAGACATTGCACAACAGAGCATCCATATTCTCCCATTCAGTCTTCTTTTCTTGGACAGAATTAGCATCTATAATCAAAAGTGATCAATTTTCCCTTGACCTTTGAACCACATCTCCACGAAAATGGCCCGTGATTGGTAATTAGCACTTCCAATTAATCGATGTGTAGTGATAATTGGAACAGAAGCAAATGAAGAAAGACCAGAAGACATTTTTTTTACTTTCTTTTTTTTTCTTTTTATTTCTTTTTTTTTTCTTTTTTTTCTTTTTTTTCTTTTTTTTCTTTTTTTTTCTTTTGTTTTTTTTTTGTTTTTTTAAGAGCAGCAAAAATTTAAATATTTAAAGTAGTGCAGTAATTAAACTGAAGTAAAGCAACTGTAAGAATTCCTCAGGCAGCAGCGGTGATAGCCGTAAGAATTCCCAGGCAGCAGATTGAAGAACTGTAGCTACAAAGGCATGAAGAAAACAGACCTCTAACTTTCTGGGGAGGTGCGGCCGACTGCTGTTTGGCATGATTCGCAGTGATGTTGATCATTCTATATTCTACAGACATTCTGCTGGCAACAAATGTATTTATCTTGTTGTGTATGTTGAAGACATTGTCATTACAGGTAGCGATGATCAAGGAATTGTGCTCCTCAAGCAACATCTCTTTAACAAATTTCAAACAAAAGACTTGGGAAAGTTGAGATACTTCCTTGGCATTGAGGTCGCACAGTCTCAAAATGGAATTGCTCTCTCACAAAGAAAGTATGCCTTGGATATTCTTGAGGAAACAGGGTTGCTAGATTGCAAGCCAGTGGATACACCAATGGATCCGAACATTAAACTCTTATCAAACAGGGAGATCTTTTGCCCAACAAGGAAAAATATAAAAGACTCATCGGCAAATTGAATTATCTTACCATCACGAGACCAGATATTTCATTTGCGGTAAGTGTTCTTAGTCAATTTCTTGATAAGCCATGTACTGGACATTGGGATGCAGCTATCCAAGTTTTGAGATACATCGAGAAAACTCCAGGGCAAGGATTGTTGTTTGAAGATCGAGGTCACCACGATATTGTGGGATACTGTGATGCAGACTGGGTCGGATGTCTGATGGATAGACGTTCCACTTCAGGATATTGCATCTTGCTTGGTGGAAACTTAATTTCATGGAAAAGTAAGAAACAGGATGTGGTCGCCAGATCTAGTGTTGAAGCAGAATATCGTGCAATGGCCCTTGCTACATGTGAAATCTTATGGTTGAAGCATCTCCTCCAAGAGTTAAAATATGGAAACACAAAACCGGCTCAACTCATGTGTGATAATCAAGCTGCAATGCACATTGCATCCAATCTGGTATATCATGAGAGGACGAATCATATTGAAGTTGGTTGTCATTTTATCCGAGAGAAGATCACGAATGGACATATCATCACAAAATATGTGAACACAACTAAACAACTTGCAAATATTTTAATTAAGTCTCTTAGAGGTCCTAGAGTGAGATATATTTGTAACAAGCTTGATACATATGATTTATATGCTCCAGCTTGAGGGGGAGTGTGAAAACCCTAGTAGTATTGGGCTTAGCCCATTTGTATATCTTGTATAGGAAACCCTAGTACTCTAAATATAGCTATAAATATAGCTTCTTGTATATCACTTTATCATCAAGTATATGAAATACAATAATACTTGTTCACAAACTTATTAAAATGCTTATTAAAATGATTGCAAATGACTGATTCACCCTTTAGTTGTTATTTTTTATCTTCTTCGTTATTTATGGTTTATTGATGTTCTGTTGGTGTCGACTCCTCGATGCTCGCTGTCATCTTCGAACGGGGTAAGCAAAGGAGAAGATGCGTAGATGCAAGTAATAAATTACATACGTGGTAGTTTTTACATAATACAAATTTGAATTTAATATTATTCATAAAATGAGGACAATACTGGCCATTCATATACTCCCTTTTAGAATACAGATTACATGCATAGAAATGCTTAAAGCAAGGAAAGGAAGAAATCCTAGCAAATCACTTCCTAAAATAGATAAGCTAATATTGGTCATCATCGTCATTACCCCAGTGCCGGATCTACGCAATCTTACCCCTATACTAAAGTTATAGATTATTACACATCACTCTAATTACTCACCTGATTGTGCATTTATGAGGAGATATCTTAGAGATCTTAGAATCTCTAAATATCCCCAAATATCTTTTCTTTATTACCGAAACTTAATTAGGAGGATTCCTTCTTTATTTCACTTTTCTCAAGCTATATATATTTTGTAATCTTCTCCTTGTGTTACACAGAACAAATAAACAAAATACATTCTTCTTTCTCGAGTTCTTTCTACATGGTATCAGAGCATGGTTATTCTCTAACATGATGAGATCAGGCTACAAGAAGTGAAAAA